TTATTATTATTATTATTTTTTTTTTTTTTTTTGTATTTTTTATATAATCAAAAAATAGTAGAATATCAAATATTCAATATATGCAAAGGCTTAATATGGTATATTGTATATTATGGTATATAAATATATATTTAACAATATAGTATAATAATTGTATAATTTATAAGCCATTTATCATTAAGCCCCACACAGTTAAATTAAATCTGCAAAGTAAAATATTAAGGAAATAAAAATGTATTAAAAATCAATAGAAACATTTACCTTTAGCAAAGAGCTTAAGAGCGCTTTATAATTGCAAACCATAAAAATAATTACTATAAAGCCCATCGATACATTCAACAGACTTTTTCGCATTCATTAAATGAATTCCACTTTCTTTGCGCTGCGATAAACAAATATTATTATTGCCCAGCCGTCTTGAGTTCTTTGAACGATTAAAATTCGCAATTAAATTGATTTCTCAGTAAAATGGACAAACTTTATTATGTTTATGCTGCGATTCGGATTTCTATATGCTGTGTGTGTGGGTCGATTTTATAAACGATCCATGGCTCGCTCACTTATCTAAAACACATCTTTGCTTGCCCCAAAACAACAATTAGAAAGCAATCAAATAATTTATAGCGTTTATAGCGCCGACAAAGCGCACAAAAGCGGAAAATACTTTTTGAGTTGTCAAAAACAAAAGTCGCCATAAATCAAGTCAAGTAAATTGAAATTTTCAAAATGGGACGCCGAAAGTATTCAGCAGTCAGCATTTTGACCAAGCGACAGCAACAATAACAACAATTGTAATTACACAGCCGAGAAATAATTAAATTATGTTTTATAGCGGATCTTGAGTCTTTGATGCTGTGGTGGCATTGTAGCTGCCTCTACCCCAAAAATAAAATAAAAGCATATAACCCACTGCATGTGCTCTAACTGTAAAGAAAACTCAAGCACAACACAAACACACACACACACACACACACACATACACATACTAACACATCTACCTCTTTGACTAATGCGAGTTTAACAATTTTGCGGTCGTGTGTAAGTCTTGTTAAGCCAATTATATGCGCTGCCTCAGACCAAGCGCGCCGTACCTCAGCTTTTTAGTTCTGCACACAGCACCCAGCACCCAGCACCCATTCCACTCCACTCCAACTCCCAACTTTCGTCTCAGGGCCTAGCTAAAGCCCACTGAAATGAGGCTGGGCCCTCGGGCAACGCCAAGAAGTTGTCTTCTGGGAAAACGCAAAAAAACAAACAGCGAGCGCAAACAGCACAAACCACAGATGCGAACTTAGCAACAATTTAAAGAAAAGTCTCTAATGAGCACTGCTTGACTATGTGATACTCTAGAAAAATTATATATTTATAAATTTCTTGAATAAACCTATTGAATTTGCAAGTCTTTTTCTGCTTGCCTCGCCTGAATCGACAATATTTTAATTTTCTATGTCACTAGAGGATACTCTGCAGATAATATAGTCTAGCCGAGTCTAATCTAATCACTTTTAAGATTAGCTAATAGATTATAACAAATAAAAATGTCTCTCGAAAAGAATAGGCTGATATGGGAATACACCACTTATCATGTTGAGAACCCATAAAAACCACTTTCTAAATACCCTACTATATATTCCATTTTATATACTACGCTAAAGTTCATTTACTTTGTTTAATCCAATGGTAAAACATCTAAATCAACTAATTTTAGAATGGATATAAACAAATGCCGCTTCAACTTAAACAAATTTGCCTAATTTATCTAACGCAAACATTTTATTTTTAGACTCTCAAACAGAAAAAATGAAAACAAGTTTTAAATAAAACTTAAAGTAAATTTGAAAATAAAAATACAGGGATGTGTTTTTTAATTTTACAAATTTAATAGCTTTAATAGCAAAAAACACATAAAATATTTTAAATATTCTTGAATAGTAAATTATAAATTTTAAAAATATATTTGAACATATTCATTAAAAAATAAAACAAGAAAATTATGAAATATATGAAAAATATTTATTAAAAAAATACAATAAAATATTGTTTTTCATTTTCTTTTCTATTTTTAATAAACATGCTTATCGGACACAAAATAAAAGCAAATTTTAAATTCAATAAAGTTAAAAACAGTTTAAAGTAAATATTTAACTATTTCTCATTAAAAAAAAAAAAATTAAGCACTGTATAGCCCCAACTACCCCAACAGCAGCTCATTCACTGAGCATAGGCAAGCGCAGTTATGCAGAGAACTTGCAAATGGAATGACATTTCAATGTTGCGGTTAGAAGGCGCTTAGTTCAGGCCTTTTGTGTGAGGCAATTGGGTTGGGGGTTGGGCTGGGAGCGGGTGCTGGGGAGCTGTGTCAGCAGTTCTCAATGAAATTGCATTTTTTGGGTCTATGCCGAGAGGAGAGGCTGTGTCACAACAGATATCCGGTTGACAGAAGTTGGCAGCTTCCGTTACAGATTTTATTGCTCAAACTTGGGTGCAATGAAGCGATTACAGTCGGGCTAAGCAAATGTTTTGTTAACAATCTGCCACAAGATTGTGCAACATTGACGCAAATTGTGGCACATTGAGCAATTAGCAAACAGAGAGAGAGGCAGATAAAGAGAGAGAACGAGCACCGCTGTAATGTCAACATGGCTGGCTGGGTTAGAGCCAACTGTGCTTAACTGAAATGGTTTAATCTACAGCTGCAACTAAAGCTGAACAGCTTTTAACTTGTAGCCCTCGGCTATATTTCTTCAACACACAAACAGAAACAATTTCTGACTAGCTTTTTACACCCCTTTACCTACATTCACTCATTGCAGAGCTCCGTCACTTTGTGTAATCTTGGCGTGGGCGCCACATTTGGCGAATCAATACTACACGACCTGCCCAGGGACAGCACCGTCGTGACGAAGACAACCTGCGAGCTGCTACGCGTCGAACAGCAGGACTTTCGACTCATCTGGGAGGTAAGCAAAGCAAAGAGAGGCGAGCACACAAATACACTTAACAGCAGCCATTACATACACATAGATATATATATGTATGTATGTATGTATTCATTACACTACAACTCAAACTGAATTGCGCAATGACACGGGCTTAAAATGTCATTAAGAGAATTTCAAAATGTTGCATGTGTTGAGTTGCAAGAAAAGTAAGATTTATGGGAATTTATGGGAATCATTGATTAATTAATCATCGAGCATGGCGCATCAAAGAGCATCAGCAATGGATATTGTGTAACGGGAAAAGCTTGGAGCAAATTAATGGCAACTCATTAGGGAAGATAAACAATGAGCCACAATTTTGTATAATATCTAAAAAAGTCATCTAATCAAGGCCATAATTCATTGTCTTCACTGCTAGCTAGCTATAAATCAAGCTTAAACTAACAAATAAAGATTTGGAAATGGTTAATGAAAAGAAAAGTCAAGTTGCAATTAATCAAATTAAATTTTGGAAATTTGGAAAAGAAACAAAAAATTACATTTTTATGCAATACTGGAAAAAATTTATTATGAAACTATTTTTTCTTCGTTTAATCACAGATGTGAGCATGTATCACTTGGACCTATATGATAAATATAAATATATATATGTTGTTCATATCTCTTCCTCTATCTCTCTCTCTCTACCGTTCTCTTATCTCGCAACCTCTTTCTTTGTGTCTTCTTCACTATCTTATATCTGACAACGCTTCTATATGCCTCTCTCCTTTTCTCTCTCACTCTCTCTGTCTCTCTCTACAAACTCTTTCCTAAATAGCTTCTCAATAATCTCTCCCTCTTTCTCTTTGTCACTCTTACTCATAGTCTCTTTCAATATACCCCTGCCTCACTCCCTCTGTCCTTCTCACTTTCATTCTCATCTTATTTCCCACCCTTTTAATTCTTAACTTTCGGGCCTTCCCATAAGTCAAGCCCACTTTTCAGGCAGTGTCATTTTGTTTATGAGTTTGAAAGGCGTCAGTTTGAGACGTAATTTTAAGTATTTACTGAGCGCTCATTAAGAGCAGCACCCACCCACACACACACACACATTTACACCTTCATAAGCAAACCCACACACACTCAACCATAGAGACAAGTCAAGCCTTGCTAATAAGCAGCTGTGTGCTAAATATTTGTCGTCGAGGTTTCTTGTCTTCCTGACGGAGGCGAAAAAGCATTTGCGGTATTTGCGTCATTGTCAAAATATTTAATTAAAATTTCAGTTAACAATTAACGATGGGCCACAGCGCCCGACCGCAACATATGCCAAGGCATTCAAGCGAGCTCAATGGCTGGGCGCTTGGCCTTTTATTGTATTTAGTTATGGAAGCAATTAACAAAATTGAATTAAAGTCATTTCGAGCCATCCTAATCGATTGCATTATTCATGAATATTCATTAATAATCATCATGAGCAACAGGTTCCAAATGCGCCCAATTAATTAGAAGCTCGCACACAGAAATATGAAAACGCAACTCCATTGATAGATGGTGCCCAAGTGAATTGAATTGGCCAAAGTTAATTGAATTGCATGCATATTGGCCGCACTTAATTGCAGCTGTTTGGGTCCACTCTAATCTAATCGCGAACAATCAGAAAGCATTATGTTTGCATTAGGCCCGAAACTGAAATGAAAGCCAGGGACATTTCTTTGCCAACAAAAGTTTTCAATTCCAATCACAAATGGCTCGTATATATATAGAGAGATGTAAGTATATGTATGTATATATGTATATCAGCCACATAGTTGGCAATTTAAAGAAGATTTCGTTTTTTTAGGGCTTGCCACAGAGCCATGAACTTGCCCCTCGGGGGCAGCAATGCTCGCACATTGAAAGCGGGCACGCACAAAAGGTATAAACCACACACACACACACGCAAATTCCCCTAACACACACACACACAGTTACACATAAGATGAATGAATGCATATTTACCTTTTGAGCTACAATAAAAAAAAAGGGAGAGAAAAAAGTAGAAGAAGAGTAAAACGTATAATAAATAATGAGAAAAGTAACCTCAAATTGGGGCAACATTGGTTAACCCAGAGCAATATATATATAGTCACTTGCTCTACTTGCCACTTGCCACTTGCCTCTTGCCACTTGCCACTTGCCACTTGGTACTTGCCACGCTGCAGCTAGCTGATGGCCGATGGTAGCTAACAAAGTAGCTGCTGCACGCAGCGCAAACATATATTACGTATACGCAATGTGCAACAATGTAGCTAAGCCACGCACACACACACAAACACACGCACACCCACAGTCGCAGGGCGCGCGTGCTATAAAATGTTGCAGCAATAGCAGCAGCTTCTGGTAAATGCGATAAAATCAGTTGAAATTGAAAATATATTACGCGAAGAGTTGTCACTGCAAATTTTCACACCCAACAGCTTTGCCTCTCCCTCTCCCTCTCTCTCTCTCTCTCACACACACTCTCTATGTGTGTGTGCGTGCGTGAGTGTGCCTTGCTGTTTGAGCCCTGCAAGTGCCTGGCAATTGTTTGATTTGCACGCAAATATTTACTTTTGTACAGCGGGAATAGCAAAAAACTTGTGCGCAAAGTCAACCTCGGGGTGATGAACTTTAAACATACTTTTGAACCTTAGATGAGAGCTGTGCGGTACGTTTGCCGCCTCTTAATAGAAATGTTATAAGAGCAAGATGTTGGCGGAAGCCTCCAGGCAAGACTTTCTTTATGTAATCATTATCTTAGCTTTTGGAATAATCAACGAATATTTTATCGTTGATATATTAAAGTGAGAGGAATATAAGTAAATGTAACTGTTTCTACTACTATAACTAAAGACTACGACTACAACTTTTACTACTATTTGCTTCTGCTGCTACTGTAATTACTACAACTATTACTACTATTGGCTGCTGCTGCAACAGTTATTACTACAACTACTACTAATTGGTACTGCTGCTACTATTATTAGTACAACTACTACTAATTGCTATTGCTGCTACTGTTATTTGTACAACTACTTCTAGTATTTGCTACTGCTACTAGTACAACTAATAACACTATTCGCTAATGCTACTACTATTATTAGTACATCTACTACTACTTTTTGTTATTGTTGCTAGTACAACTAGTCAAGCTCAAAAGGGTCTTCTTTCCCCGCTAATTATTCCAAGCCTAATACTACTATTTGCTCGTGCTACTATTACTACTACTACTTTTGCTACTGCTACTATTAACTACTACTACTATTGGTACTACTACTATTTGCTGCTGCTGTTACTATTGTTACTCCTACCACTACCACCACTAGTTCTGCTACTTTTATTACTATTTCCACTACTTACTACTACTATTCTACTACTATTATTATTATTACTACGACTACTACCACATAAAATACGACTAATACTACTTATTACTTCCGTCACTATTATTACTGCTACTACTATTTTTACTAATATTTCTACTACTTCTACTACTATTTACTACTGCTGCTACTTTTAATGCTACTACTAATGTTAGCAGTTAATACTACTATTATTACTCTTATTAGTAACACTAACTACTATGGCTTTTACTGCCTTTCCTTTATTTTTCCAAAGTTCTTCTCAATTTCTTGCTTGCGAAATTCCACTTACTCAGCTCATTACGCTCGGCTGCAATAGTTATGCATGTAATTAAATTTATGCTATTACATAGTATACACAGTAATTGGCCAAACAATTACAGCATTACATGTTACCTTCAGCACTCAAACAATGTTTCACATACTTTTCTGCAGCTGCAGCGAGTGCAGATTCCATTTTACATGATTATTATGTCATTTACTGCACAAGAGTGTGCGTGTGTGTGTGCGTGTTTGCTGTTTGTGTTTGCTTCCTGTTCTAAGCATCAGCTGTAGCTGTGCTCGAAATAAATAAATAAAGCGCATGTCCAATGCAAGCGGCACGCAATGGTGCATGTCGTGCAGCTGGGGCATGCCAAACAACGTTGCGCATTTTACATTATTTATGGTCTGTGCATTACGTATACGACGCGTGTGCCAGCGATTGTTCGCTCCCAACGACTGCAACTACTTATGATATGCCCGTCCGTTAAAATCAGCCAAATTGAAAGCGAAAAATTGTTGGCCTAATCGATTGGCCCTGAATGTGTGCAGAGTGCGCCTACAAAATTTGCATCTATGCTAAATAATTGAGTTATGCACTATGCAAGCGTATGCTTAAAATCGTTCGTTAATCGCATTTCAATTGCAATTTGCCAGCTGCGGCGCTGCCACAAAATGCCAACTCTAATTTCCGCAGACAACGGCCCAGCCACCTGTCAGCTGCCTCCTGCCTCCCACCTCCTGCCAGCCAGTTGTCAGCTGTGCGTGTTTGAATCGTGTGAACTGGAAATAATTGTATTCGCCACGCCAAATCACGAGCTCTTTAACGACCCTTCAAACACTGCAGCCCAGAGCATGTTCAATGAGCAGTAAATAGCCTTGCTTTAGCTGCTCGAGCTAACTGACAAAGGCAGAAGTGCTACTGGAACTGCTACTCGAACTGCCCCCTGTCATTAATATCAATTATTGAAGCGATTTCTTAGTTGTGCTACATTTAGTCAAGTCGTATTAATTGAATTGGCATGCACTTTGCAAAGATTTTGTATAACTTTCTTAGCCATTTATAGCCAAATATCAAGCAGGCCAAAGCTGAGACAATATGAGTTATACTACTTCCGATACATTTACTTCAGCAGTTCCTTAAGTTATCGATAAAAATGAGCTACAGAGAGGTTGTACAAGATTTGCTATGAAATCTACTTAAGTTAGAAGAATCTATGGAAACAATTTGAAGAATTTTTATGATAATAAAACAGAAACTATGAAATCAATTTACGCTAGGATAATATGGTTATAGGATATGGAAAAATGTAAAGAATTTACTGCCATTGCATTAGATAATAAAACTGAAATCATTTCCGCTCACTCTATTTATCCGCTGTTTAAGCTATAAATAATTTACGATTTTTCTTCTAAATAATATTCAGTTAATATTTGAAAATATTTTAAATTAAATTTTTTTATTTTTATTTTTTATTTAATTTTATTTATTTATTTATTTTTTTTTTGTAATCACATATTCAAATATTCTACATTTTATTAACGTTTGTTTCTTGGCATGTTTAAATATTTGTATTTTAATTGACGTGAATATTAATTATTAAAAAATTCCATAAAAAAAAAACTGATTTCATATTCTCTCATTTCAACTCATCTTCAGCGTTACGCCCAAAGCAATATAAATTCCACAGGTACAGTCGACCATTTAGCATTCATCAAGAATTCACGCCGGAATGCTTTTCCTTTATTTCAATATAATTTGATGCACAGCTTGGATAGCTGCTCAACAATACGTTACTGTTCATTTTGCTCGCCTGCGAATAACTTTAGCCTCTCAACTTGGCGCATATTTTCCATAATTAATTTCCATTTTCCTTTGAACGCGTAGACAAAGACTGGATTGGAATTGACCTTGAGTTTAGCCAGTTCAACTCTTGCCTTGCAGTCTGGACACAATGAATAGACCTACTTAGTGCCAGCCAACTTTATGGCCATTATTATCAGAGCTGCCATTGTCTGCAAGGCCTGCGCCTGCCATTGTGGCCAAGGCGAATGCGACAAGGCGCAGCCAAGTGCTTCCCGCTGAGTTCATCATATCTAACGACAATTCTCGCACTCACTCATTGCTCTCACTCGGCGTTTCGATAAGTGAAAATGAGTTTTAATTAGCGTAGACGCCAACGCCGACGCCAAAGTCAACGCCGTTATCAGCCGAGCGTCAAGTGTTCTCAGAGCGTCAGCGGCAAAAAAAGCGAGTCAATGTCTTCTGAGTGGTAGTGTCACGACTAGCAGATACCCTAAGCTGTGAGACTTGTGTGTCTGGGGATGTTTTTATTTGCATATGAAAATTATTTTTTATCTCTAGAGTGCATGACAAGACCTGTGTGAGTTACAGTTCTCGAGAAATGCATAAAAAGATCTCCAGGTCGTGTATTATTGGTAATATGGAAATGCTATGAAAGAACGTAGCAAAAACTCTTATATGACGAATCCATTAAACAAAATACAGAGAATATATGTACATATCAAGTTTGTGGTCCTTAGCTCTTATAGTCTTCGAGTTATAGTTATAAATAAAAGCTGGTATTAAAATAAATATTTATCCTTCTGCATAAATATTACAAAAACAATTCTACGAACAGCAAATTGAATGTGCCGTAAAATTATTTATTATGAATTTAAATCTTCAGCTATCCTTATTTCTGCGAAACATACAAACAGACGACTGAGTCAGTTCGTCGTCTTGAATAAAAATATAAATATATATAAATTATAAAATATAAAATCTATGGCCTCTGACTTTTGCATATATCTGCAGCAAATCCATTATACCTCGTATATATATATTTATAATGAGTGAATAGTAAAGCAAGTGACTTGGCATGCGGGCGCCCCACTCCTGCCCCAGCTCATGCCCTTGCCCTTGCCCTTGCCTTTTGTATGTTTATTCATGCGACTGTCACGACGACAAATTGCCAGTGAACTATTTATAGCAGCACTTGTGCGTTTCTTTCGATTGCTCTGGCAACCCTGTCAAGCTCTGGCTGATAAGGCGAAATAAAAACAATAACAAAAACAATGGGGCATGCAGTGAGCACAACGCGCCTCGACTGCCACCCAGCTGGCTTATCAGTGCGCGCGACAACGTTTGACAGAAATTACCTGCTCCAGAGGAGAGCGCAAAGAAAAAAGCCAAATAAAAATAAAAATAAAAATAACACCAAATCAAACAAAACAAAATCATCATAAAAATTGAGTGAAAAGAATGTGCAAAAAGCAAACCACTTCAAGTGCAAAGTGAAAGTGAACCACGTGGGAGAGAGAGAGAGAGAGGGAGAGAGAGAGGGGGGCCCAGATGTCAGCGAGCCAACTGCGACAGCTGCAGCGCGAACAGCGCCAGTTCCAGCGTCGTTCTGGCCAAGTTGTGGCCAGCGATGAGGCGACGCTCTGCATGCTGCTCAGCTACAGACGCCACAGCGATAGTGAGAGAGTGGCGTCAGCAGCAGCAGCGGCGGCGGCAGCGGCAGCGCCTCCAGCAGCGACAGCTAAAGGAAAAGCTAAAGCAAAAGCAAAAGCAGCCACAATTGGCAGAGCAACGGAAATATCTATGATAACAACAACAGAAACAACAACAGAAACAACAGCAACAACAACGGCAACATCATTAACTGGCGCCACTTCCGCAGCTATCAAGCTGCGACGCCGACAGCAGCAGCGCCAGCCGCGTCCACTGACAACGGCATTCGAAATGAGCAATGTACGCGTCATAGGTGTGATTGCCTGAAAAGTAGCCCACAATCCGCAATGCACAATCAAAAGATAACAACAACAACAACAACTACTATCATCACATATTGCTTTATCTATAAATACAAAAAATCAACAACAACAACAACAACATAAAACAATCCAAAGCTAACTCATTCACTTTTTGTTTTTGCAGAAAAACAAGGAGTTGATGAATGACATTATTACCAATTGCAAAATAAAGAACGGTAAGTGGAAAATAATCATAAGAAATATAAATAAATATATATAATGATAGACTATCAGTTACCCTGTAGTTGAGTTTAAATAGGCATACGATCCAATAGTATATATATTGAAAATAAATATTGAATATTGATAATGATAGAAAATTCTATGATTTTAAGATTATGATAGATCTGAACTTGTAATAGCTTAAAATAATAATTAATATAGAGATATATACACAGAGTCTTCTAGTCGTGTTGTCTCACTGTCAACTAAACAAGTGATCGACTTGGCATACCCTTTAGACAGTCAAGCAGAATTAATTTTATACTGTAGTATTTTATATTAAGATATGCTTTATTTCATAACTCAGAAATGCTAGTCATTATTTTGTTTTAAAACTAAGAAATGATTTACTAAAAGATACCCCGTCTTGAACTATATTCTTATGATTTTGCCTTAAGTAATAATGACTTTCAGTGCTTTCATCTGCAGACGTTCCTAGGCTATATTCTATTTATATTTACAATTCGGAGTAGTTATTTTTGATTAAGAGAGAGAGCAATAAATACGAACCGCATATAAAATAAATATTATAAATAAAATAGCCACAGACGAGCCAATTAATTGACTTGCATATTGTTCTATTGTTCTATAAATAGGTTTTGGTCCCGGCGTACAACCAGCAGCTGCCACTTCGCCCACTAAACGCCCACTCAGTCCGGATCATCCCAATCCAGCGTTGCCCATTACCGAGGTAAGCAGACAGACTATGAATTGTCTCTGTGTGTGGGTGTGTGTGTGTGTGTGTGTGTGTGTGTGTGTGTGTGCGTGTGTAACTGCAATTAATCAGTCAGACAGACACACGCACACACATGCGCACACAGCTACCTAAATATGTAGGTGTGTGTGAACCTTTGTTGACATTGAGCCTATGCCACTTGAACTTCTTGAAAAATCAGTTTAGACAAGCTGGCACGCTGACTAATTGAATCATTAATTAAAGTTAAGCAAACGGTTATGGAAAGAAAGAAAAATGAAAGAGCGAAAGAAAGAATGGAAACTGGGAAAAAAGAGAAAGGAAACGATGGAAGAGATGTAAAAAATATAGAGCAAAATATAAAAATATAAGCAAATTGAAATAGGTTTTCCATAAATTCCTTCTTTCAAGTTTTATATCGCTCGCTTCAAATTTACGAATTTAAATTTATATTTATTTCCCAGAAAGAGAAATACAAAATCGATTATAAGACTCATATTTACAATTTTAAAAAATATTTATAGAAGTGCGCTTACCAGGAATATATTCTATTTAAATCTACATACATATATGACTGAGATATTGTTCGTGGAAATTGTAAACGAATTATCATGAATTTTGTTTTTCTGATTTTCAGACGCCGAGTCCTGCTATGAACCGCATGGGCTGGGCGCTGCGCACATTACTGGTGGTCGATAACTCAAGCTGTCTGAAGGATCGCAAGGTAAGAGTGATGCCAGGCAATTGGCTTGATAAAAGTCAGATTTTTATTACGCAATCGATTGCCGGCAGGTCTCGGGCAAGTTAATACGCAAGTGTGCGCCCGGCACAGAGCTCGTCGATTGGCTGGTCAACTTGGCACCGATTGTACACACACGCGCCCAAGCGGCGGGCATGTGGCAGGCCCTGCTCGAAGAAGGCGTACTGACACATGGTGAGTGTGGAAGAGAAAGAGAAAGAGAGAGAGAGAGAGAGAGAGAAAGCATTGGCTTTTAGCTTTGCAGCTTAATGACACAATTAACGCATTTAAAAATGGTTAACACATTGTCCCGTTACCCACAGTTAACAAGGAGCAGCCGTTCAAGGATAAATGCTTTCTGTATCGATTTCGCTTGGACGAGGAAGGCGGCGCTGCGGCAGCCGGCACACCATCTGCTGAGGATCTGAATGCGGCTAATGAGCACATACGTGAGGCACTGAGTGCACTCTTTCAGCGTGGTCCCGATGCAACGTTGCGCATGATATTGCGCAAGCCGTAAGTGCAATATATATTGATTCAATGCGGGACAGTTCGAAAGTATGCGAATGAAATGCAGCAGCTTTAAAGCCAGAATGCCAAAATATTTGTCTACCTACAGTAAACACACGCACACACGAACACACACACACACACACAATCCGACATAAGCTTATGCAAATGTTGTGCTGCACACACAGTGCGTATGATTGATATTTGCATTTGCATTTGCCTTTGGCTCGACTACATTGCCAAATTCAAGACACAAACCACAATGGCTCTTATTTGGTTTTAATCAATTTACACACACACAAGCATATATATTGTATATCTATATATATATAAATTCTATATACCCATTCGACATTTCTATGCAGTTCACACGAACGCACACCCGAGGAACTGGAATTGGTATTCGAGGAGCTTGTCCATATAGCTGCCCTCTCTCATCTATCGACTAGCATCAAGCGTGAGCTATCCTCAATAATTGTATTCGAGGCCCACGCACAGGCGGGCACCATATGTGAGTATCCTGCCATATGAATTGGACAATTAGTTCTTAATTTGAAAGCTCATTTGCTTTAATTAACTGACAAATTGAATAAATATCATTAAGTAAATATTAGCTTTTAGCATGTCATAGATTAAATACGCTTAATTGATTTATACAATATAATTAACTTGGCTTAATTAAAATACTGTCGAGCAGCTTAAGCTAAATTTGGTACACACTTAATAGACAAAGCTGAGGTTACTTGATAGATATGCATAGATTTAATTAACTAACAACTAAATTTGTTGTCAACAATTTTAAATATTTTTTTGAGAAGCCTTAGATGTTTCTTTTTGCATAAGACTGGGAGATTTCAGAGTTAAAATTTTTTTTAATATTCATATATTTTTTGTAAATTAACTTTACACTATTTCGCCAAAAAAAAAAAAAGTTTTTACTGATATATATATAATTAAATATAATTTTTTTTTAAATTATATTTATATATTTGCATTGAAATATTAAACAAATAAAATAGCTTATATATTTTTTAGAGATAAGAAATAATATTATAGCATTATTATATATTCGTTACATATTTTATAAGAATATTCAACCCTCTGTATAACACATTCTAAGCTTTTTAAATTGAATTAGCTAATTATTTCGCATTAAATTAAGCTAATATAACCTTATAGCCTGCACATTATACCTCAATATATTCCCACACATATCCAACTTAATAAGAAAAGACTTTAAACCCTTTTTAAATGTCGTTTATCCCACGAAAATGTCAACAACACCGATTGCAGTATTCAATCAAGGCGACGAGGGGCGCTCCTGGTATATTTTACTCAAAGGCTCTGTGGATGTTGTGATACATGGCAAAGGCACTGTTGCCACACTGAAGACTGGCGATGATTTTGGCAAATTGGCTTTGATTAACGACGCACCCAGGTAAGCGATGCTGCCAGCAAAAACCTTTTACAGTTAAAGAGTGAAATATAAACTCGTTTCCTTCTTGTCAGTCAGTTGGCTTAATTCTATTTTTTGTACTATTTTTTTTTGCTAGTGAAAAGAAACTTTCTACACGAACATTAACAATTCTCCTTAAATCGTTTCTGGCCACATTTGGGCACTTTTATTTTATTTTTATCGCTTTTGACCAAGTTAAAGAACTAAATGACAGAGAGGGAGAGAGAAATAGATAGGTAGATATATTTATATATGTATGTATATGTAGACAATGTGCGCACTAGGGCCAACAATGTGCCCACAGATTCAGCAAGTGCGGCTGGCTAATAGCATTAGACACTTTGTTGCCACAGCCACAGCAAAGATAACAACAACATCAATTACAACAACGGCAACAACAACAACGAGAAGAGAGCTATGATAACAATGCCCGATAACAGCAGACATTGTGCGGCATTTAGAGGCAACAATTGCAGATTGAAACAAAATATTTGCCTAGATAGAGTTGAACTAACTGTTGTTGGGCATTTTACTACAAAAGCTGCAATTGTAGCGCAAAAATAAATCGAATTAGTTTTAGTTTTGCTCAAATAAAAGGCAAAGAATGTCTACTAAAAGCGTATTTTTAATGGTTTACTCATAAAATAATTAATTATACTACAAGCGGACAGCGAATGCAAAACCTTTTCATTTCATGAAATCAAGTGGAAATGAAGGGGCTTAAATTGATGAGAACTTACTTTAGTTAAATGTATGGATGATATCTAAAGAGCTCTAGTTGTTTAAGCATGCGAAATATTATCTGGCAGCTTAAGCCGTTCAACACTTTTAGTCGATTACTGGGAAAATAACAAATGTTATTGATTATCTAATTCACAAATGATAGAGTGGGCTGTAGAAAGGCAGCTCTTAGTATTAATTATATGTATGTACATCTGTCAAGTCTCTAGCTCTTATGGGTTTCATGAGGAACACATTCATGTCTAGGCAGAATTTTTAAAATATTTTTTAGAATTTATTGAATATATTACTTAGAACTTATTATTTTTATAAATATTTTGTTTGCTGAATTTTTAATGATTTATTATTTTGTTATCTATTTTATAAAAAATTTTGAATATTAATTATTTAATGAATATTTATATTATTTAAAATATATATTTTCTTATTAAAATGAATATTTTGATAAGAGTTCTTCCCTTTAAAATTAAAAAATAAAACCAAAATTATTTAAATTAAAACACTTTACATTGAGAAAATATTTCAAGAAAATTACTTCAAACAGCTTAACACATAAAATTCATTATTAGCACATAATGAAAGAAGCGTAAACTGTATTTATATTTTACACAAAACAGTTAATGCTATAAATAAATAATTTATCCTTTTATTAGCCAGCACAAATTTTTTATTCATACAGAAAAATAGTAAAAATGATTAAAAATCATTTCATAAAAATGAAAACATTACTCGCTTTAATCTATACAAACACACCGAAATCCCCTTTTATATTTTCCCTTTATGGGGGCTTAAAAAGTCAAACAAAAAGCATTAAAAAAATTAAAATAAATCAATAAAACAATCACAGAAATTGCAATGCAAGATGATAAGCGATTTATTTGCCACAGAATTTCATGTCAATTAAAATATATTTCAGTGCACGAAAGCAAATGGATAAATGAATAAAAAGCCAGTGCAACCGCCGAGATAAATATTGAAAGATGAATGTCAATTGATAAATACAATTTACGTTGACTTTTCCAGCAATTGCAGCAATGAAAATTCCGACAGCTGAAAATTGGGAGCGAATTCGCGCCACGAAATGCAATTTGCAACAATTTGCCATTCAAATGGGAGCAAGTTGCAAAAAACAAATTAAACAAAATAACGGTGAATAGTTGGATTAACTGTAATGAAACAAATGTTAAAACAGGATTCATTAAAACTTTATAAGTGGACAAAGTGGGAATTTGTAGTTCAATTTGTTGATTAACTATTTAAACAGAGTTTGACAAATTATTGTAAATTTATATAAAATTTTTTGTCACATTTTTAAAATATTTATTTTGTGAATATATATTTGCAGAGCTGCCACAATTGTTTTGAAGGAGAACAATTGCCATTTGCTGCGCGTGGATAAGGAGCACTTCAATCGCATTCTGCGTGATGTTGAGGCCAATACATTGAGATTGCAGGAGCATGGCAAGGATGTTTTAGTGCTCGAACGCGTGGCCAAACAACGTGGACAACATTCGGCTTTCAAGTGAGTGCCAATTGCATTGCCAGTATGTATGTATATATACCATATATACAATGTATGTTTATATGTATTTCTTCCAAAAAACTTCCCCTTTTTTTGTGCGTGTCCACGCGTTAATTTTAATTGAAATTGTAAAACGCTTCGATTTGATGGCGCATTTACGATTCAACGCTGAACGTGACTGAATTCTATTATATATGTATATACTATATATATCTATGTGTATATACATTGCTTTTATATAGATATACCGTGATGTCGGGCACACCAAACAAAATGCTAGAGCATTTGTTAGAGACGCGCCTAGGACAGACTGTCAGCGGCATGGATCCATTTCTGGATGACTTTCTGCTCACGCACATTGTGTTTATGCCCGTGGTGCAGCTCGTCGATGAATTGGCCAACTAATATCCTTTTTAAACAAACTGCCCATACATTTTATTTTAATTTTCAGCTTTAGCTAGAAAACTTTCGAATTGTCTTTGAATATCTTAAAAGATTTTTCAGTTAGAGCCAGCTTGAAAGTAGATAGATTCTCTCTCAGATCTCAGATCTATAAACAAGTTCCCATGAATCAAGCTCTGCACACCTTCCAATCACATATCTCATATAAAATCAGCTCCCCGATTCCCAACTGTAATTCCAAGCAGTTTAGCCATTAAATAGCCCAAATCACTCACATTAAAATGTAATCCTCGCTTACATTGAACGGTCTATCTAATTGGACTTCGTTCTATTGCTCGGGCAATAGAAACTTTATGATTTGATTTACAGCCCCAAATCAGGCAATAAAATTATACAAGATTTAATTGAATTTCGTGAGCCTCGTTTTATGCCATGCTCGCCACGTGCCGTAGCTTAACCGAAACTTGACTCCGATGAGAGCGGACTTTAAAGACCCTCTTGCAGTTGGCGCCCAAAACTGATCCGCTTTAAGCGCAGCACTTTAAAAATGCTAACACTCTGCCACGCCTTGCAGCCGGCGTCCACACAGCACCACCAGAGACCACCACCATTTCATTTCATACCAAACTAAGCACTCGGCCATAGAGTCACGTTCCCTTCTCGGCTGTACAGTAGCTAGCTGCTGGGGGAGGTCAACAAACATATCCACAGCGACAGTTTAAGTGTTGGCAGCATGCAAACCACACGCACACACACACACACAAAACCACGCCCACACATACATACGGGCAAAACATGAAGTCAGGTTCGTGACTCGAAAATGTCAAGAGAGAAATAACTAAAAGGAGGAGCTCTGATCCGGATTATGGCAGAGTTGATACCCTTGCGTCTAGCAGATTAGAAATTCGCATTTTCAATTACTTTTTGTATGAATTATTCACAAATAATCTCAAGAAAATATTAGCATATATGATAAATATATTTATCATATTTAAATAAATATTTATGTTTTAAAAATATATATTTATTATTCTGATAACTAAATATATTTATTATATTGTATTAATTTGTATTATTATGTATATACATATTTTTAAAGTTTAGTCTACCTTAGATAAAACTTTACTGAATTTTTAAAAAATTTAGTAGTTAATATTTATTTTATTTCGAATTGCGGATTTTATGATAAATATATATTTTTTTTCTTATATGAAATTTCAATTCAGCTTGAAGAAAAATGATAAAAAATCATTTAAAAAATATATTTAAAGTTTAATCTACCTTAGATAAAACTTTACTGAATTTTTTAAAAATTTAGTAGTTAATATTTATTTTATTTTAAATTGCGGATTTTATGATAAATAAATATTTTTTTTTTTTTTTCTTTTACGTAATTTCAATTCAGCTTGAAAAAAAATTATAAAAAATCCTTTAGAAAATGCTTTCTTTTTATAAGAAAACTCCCTCTGAAATGCTTCTGCTAGCAAACAGTTATATGAAAGAGCAAGTCTATCTAAACCCATTTAACTTTATCAGACAAAACCTTTTATTATAAACGAAAAGTGTACACATTTTACACGATATCTATTACCTGTTGCATCACACTCAGTCAAGACTAAGCACTCTATGTTAGTGTATAAATAGAGACCTAACGAAGTGCTACAATTCTTTTGTGAAGCGAAAGTAACTGTTAAACTGGTTTCCAATGCTATGCAGAAAACAAAAGCCGCACTGAAGTTGAAAATGGTCTAAGCACACACAGAGTCACTCAGCCATGCCCACACACACACACACACACACACACACAAAGGCACCGTACAACAATAACAGAGTCCTTGGACATTGGGTCAACAATTCGGGAATGTTTAGTGCAGGCAGCAGCAGCAGTAATTGAGAGGGGGCGGGGCTCAATGATGCTTGAAACTAATCCTCAATCTGCATTGAAATACGTGATGTGCTTAATAAGCAGCCAGTTTTCGGACAGCCACACACCAGGCTATGAACCACCAGCCGCCCCTCACACTTCCACTTGATGGTGCGTGGTGCGTGTTCAAGCAGTGCCACGTTTAGGTAGCGCAGGTTTTCCAATTGTTTTTGTTTTTGTATTTTCGCTTTCATTTTGCGTGCTCTTTGTTGATGTTTTCCTTAACCACTGTGCACCTTTCATTGCGATGCCCATGAGGAGGCGCAAACGCCCGAGGATCGTGAATATATAATCAACTTCAAGAAGCGCGTCATCCAGTTCATGCAAAAGTGGGTCATGGCAGTGCGACACGCCGCATTTGAGGAGCCAAGCGTTTGCGATTTCATAGAGGACTTGGCCGCCGAGGTGGAGGCCGATCCGGACCTGAACGAGGAGACGAGCATCATACACAATGTGCTGACACAAATGGCACGCTATCAGGAGGATCGCAATCAGAATGCGGGCCAAAAGTGGAAGCTGCCAACGAATGGCCAGCCGATTTGTCTATTCAGTGGCAATGCCACGCCCTCAAAGACGGTCATAAGGCCGGACGATGACAGTAAGTGTGCAACTGGGCTTTTGGCAATGCAAATCGAGTGCACTAACTGATGGCATTTAATCACACTGCCCCTCTCTACCTCTCCCTCTCTCTCACGCTTGCAGTCATTTTCCGTGTTTACTGTGCGGACCACACCTACTGCACTCTGCGCTTCCCCATGCACACCACCGCCGAGCTAATCAAGGCCTGCGCCGCCGACAAGCTGCAATTGAATCGCGGCCCCGACGACCTCTGCCTGGTCGAGGTCAAATCGAATGGCGAACGGTCCGTATTCAAAGATAACGATGTTAGCATACCCACCGGCCTCACGCTCAATGGCCGTCTCTTTGTGTCCGTCAAGGATCATCTGGATGCCTTGGTAAGAGTCGACAGCCGAACATTCCACACACAATTTGCAGGCTAACTTTGGCAATTATTACGCACAGACTCCGCTGCCGGAACAGGAATGCCCCACAGAGGGTGTTGACATTGATTTGGAAATCTTGAGCACCAAAGAGCTGGCCTATCACATCACCATCTTTGAGTGGGATTTGTTCTGGGCCGTCCATGAGTACGAGCTGCTCTATCACACATTCGGCAGGCATCACTTTGGCAAGGTACACTTGAAGAAAAAACTATATACATATATGTATATACTACTATAAATATTAGTATATATAATTATAAATTGCTCTGAGATATTTTTGGATAGACTTTTAATCGTTTAGACTTCAAATTATTTTTTTTTTTTTATGAGTGTAGCAAAGATACATCTACATAAATATTTTTTAGGAACAGAAAATTAATTTTTTTAGTAACAAAAAAAATAATTATATATATATGTATAGGAATTCGATTTCTTCTATATATTTTTATACATTTCAATGCATTTACTAATAATTATTTTAATTAAATACTTGTATGCCATCATATATTTTTATAGAGAAAAAATTTTCCAAAGAAATTTTTGCTTAAAATATTTTTTTTTTTTAATTAGAAGTGTTACAAAACTAAAATTTAAAAATGAAAAACAAATCTAGGTATGCTCTTTTAAGTTAAATAAATATAAAATTTATAACATTTATTAAATTATCTATTATTTATATATTTAATTTAATAGTTTTTTTATAATATTTTTTTTTACAATCAAAATGTATCAAAAACTTGCTAGTCTTGCCTAATGAGTTGTATAAAGTATACGCCATGTGGTTCACATAAATGACACATTTTGCAGCATGCGTAGGCAGCAGACAGCAAAGTAAGACGAAAGATAGTGAAAGAGCACCGAGAGTAAAATATGTGGCACTGCCTCTGGCAGACGGCTTGCATTGTTTGGCACAAGTTTTAAAAGGCTTTCGGCTAATTAGGCTGAACGAGCAAGCAGCAGGTAGAAGCCAGGACTCGTACCTCCGTTTTGCCGGCGGGACCTATACTAACAGGCGGCATTAAGTTTGCCGTCAACTATTTACAAGTCTGGCATTTGTCATGTAGCTGCAAATTGAGTTTTGGCACGAGTTGTCGGTGCCGAACTTTCAAGGCCTCTCCAAGCAGTTAAAGCCAGCCCCAAATGTGATTTGGCACAAGTTTAATACTAATGTATACTCTGGCTCACTCTCACTCTAACTCCTCTCTCTCTCTCTCTCTCTCTCTCTCTCTCTCGCCTGCACAGATTACGGCCAATTTGGATGTGTTTTTGAGGCGCTTCAATGAGGTGCAATACTGGATTGTCACCGAGCTCGTCTCAACGCCCAGCCTGAGCAAACGCGTCGGCCTCGTACGCAAATTCATCAAGCTAGCCGCTTAGTAAGTATTGAATAAACTAATTAAAAATATGTAAACAGTTAGCTAATCTTATTTTTCCCCCATTTACAGCTGCAAAGAGTATCAGAATCTGAATGCCTTCTTTGCCATTGTCATGGGCCTCTCGAACATGGCCGTTACGCGTCTGCATCAGACCTGGGAGAAGATACCATCGAAATTCCGTAAAATCTTTCAGGAGTTCGAGGCGCTGATCGATCCCAGTCGCAATCATCGCGCCTATCGCGTGTTCGTTGGCAAGCTGCAGCCACCGCTGATACCGTTTATGCCGCTGCTGCTCAAGGACATGACCTTCGCCCACGAGGGCAACAAGACCAGCCTCGACGGCCTGGTCAACTTTGAGAAAATGCACATGATGGCCCAGACCATGCGCACCATACGCTTCTGTCGCTCACGCAGCCTGGGTAAGTTTGGCCAAGCATTTTAGGGGCCATCAAGATAATTAATTGGACTTGGGTTTCCAAAAAGAGAGCGGCAAAAGTTTTTCTGCAGATATCTTTGGTAGCGAAAGACTTGATATACGTCTATCGAGGCGTCTAAAGGCTTTGTAACAGTTGAAAGTCACAGCTGGATATCTTGGCAGGTTTTGAATACAGTGACTATGCTCTACATGCAGTAAAAGCAAAAGCAAGCTGTTATTGGTATTTCTAGTATCTAGAACTCGGAGCTTTAAAATTGCTATAAGACTTGAGCGCATAATAGATGATGAGCCGATGTTTGCAAATAAATTTCTTTCACTCACACTCTGAAGAAAAACTCTCAGAGCAGCTGATTGCATTGGATCTTCAACGACTTCGTGATTGGACAGCAACCTTTCTATTTCGGCTTTTTGGGCTCTGGTTTTCTCTGGACTATAAAGCCAAAGGTCTCTTGTATATGTATTGCTATGCGAGGCTCTTGTTCGCAGGCACATCGAAAGCTTATGAGAGTAGAGTGTGTGTGCAAATCGTTAGCATTGACTCTTTGAGCAACTATTTGCTCACTTACTCAGTCTCATTGTGCGAATGTCAATCGTATCGCTCCCTATACAAAGAACCTCACACGAACAGAAAGAACTCAAACGAAAACCAAAAAAAGGCTTTTGCTCTGAACGAGAGGAAATGGGTTTGATTTTTTCAATTGAACTCGAAGGAAGAATAAAACGGCAGTTATTTCTAAGCTAGGCTATATATATATCCTCAACAAATTATCGAGAGAGTTCCTATAAACTACATATTGAAGCATTTTAAAGTGCATAGAGAAAAGTCAATGAATACTCATCTTTACGTTTATGTAAAAATAGAAAAAATACCTCAAACAGCAACACGGACATTGCATAAAATATTGCTATAGCAAATGACACAAAAACTCTTTTGTAGTATTGTATATACATATATATATGTATTATATTTACTCATAAAATATAGATTAAATGTAGGCTAAATGGACATACAACATTCAATACATATTTTATTAAATTTTGCTCTGAGCTGCAAATTGCATTCGAATCAATGCATTAAAATATTCATATGTCTATATATAACTTTTAATGCATATATGTATGTATGTAAGTGCAGCTCTTTAGCTCTTTCTATTTATATGATATTCTACCTGATATATGCATGTCTAACTTATTTTTGTTATTATTTACTTTGCAGGCCTGGAGCCGCCTTCACCCAAAAGCGAGGGCGAGGTGCGCTCGTACATTAGCAGTTTTCGTGTGATTGACAATCAGCGGGTGTTGACCGCCATGTCGCAGAAGGTGGAGCCCACCAGGAAGCTAAATTAAGCACAGACAACAAACAACAAGAAACATCAAATCTAAATGTCAAGTCGTCGCATAGTCCCAACTAGTATTAGCGCGTATTTAATGTCTACAACACGATACATCTAAATTTATAAATAACAATGAATATACATATATATATATATGCATATATACATACATTTATGACGAGTATAAACTGTAATTAACTGCACAGTTATGAGCTTAGCTGAGTTGATTTTTAGCTGCTGCCCCGCTAGCGACCAACCAGTGCATTCAAAACTAAAAAAAAAAAATAAAAGAAAAAAGCAAACTAATACAAACATTATATTCTAATAAACTGAACAAAACAATTAACTTTTATTCATGTTAGAGAGCAACTAAGTAATATTTATGTAAGCTTGCCTAAACAACAACAAAAACAACTATCTCAATTTTCTAAATGAACTGAAAAACACAAAGAGAAAACTTTTTGCTTTAGTACAAAAATGAAAACAAAAAAAAAAAACATTTGGCTTTTGGTTTGTTGGGGAATTGAGGACCCAAATGGAAATTGCAAACAAAACAAATGGGCGTGTGTGATACTAAAAATTTAGAGAAAGCGACAGCAACAGTAACAACAACAATGATAAACAAAAACAAATTGTACTAAATCTATTTCCTACGACGAAAACCTTTTAAATATTTATATATATTCAGTCAAGGCTATGCAGCTAACCCAAAAAAAAAATTTATATATATTCAAGGGTCTAACACGAATGGAATCTATTTTTTTAAATATAAAAAATAATATAATAATTGGCAGGTCATAAAAAATAAAATTTATATATATATATACATATAATCAAATCTAGTTGAGTCTAGCTATAAATATTTATAAATTAAATAGATTCTAAGTCATCTATTTAGATTTTGTTTTAACCATTTTATAATTTTTAATTTATGCAAAAAATATATAAATAAAATACAAAACCCATATTTTAAATATATTTGCAACATTTTTAGTTTTATTATTTATTTTGTTTATTATTGACAATATTAATATATACTTTAAAGTTACAAACTGTAAATATATTTTCTTTATTTAAAAGAGAAAAATATATATATTAATTATGCTTAGTTTAAGCATAGCGAAAAACACTGGAGAGGGACCTTATTAGTTGTAGAACGTGTAAAAAAAATGGCTTCATTTGCGTGTACATAAATTAGGAATTACTTTAAAAGAGAACCCACAGAAAAGTTCTTCAAAGCAAGTGTGAGGCTTAAGCAGACAATTCTCCAACTACAACAGGATCTCAAGGCAAAGAGAACTTGATTTAAATATATATACATACATATATATTTAATAAAAAATTAGCGAGCCAAATTGTAGTTTTTTAGTGTATCGAAGTAAACCCAACTCCTCTCCCAAGAAGGTCTCTCAAACAACGATATACCACTTAGACAAGAACCACTATGTAGGCTACATCTATACGCCCTAAACGACCATAATACTTAGCCGATGTACATGTATACATATATATACATATATATTTACTTTGTTTTTAGCTAAACTCTCAACTATCGTATAATTCTTGACTTATGCACAATAAAACACACAAGAGACACGAGTTCACAGGTTTCCCTACAACAGAAAACAGCAACAACCAAAATATATAAAAAGTTGTACGAATTTTTTGAATGAAACTTTTTACATGAATAAATAAATATATATATTTAATTTAATGATTTACAAAACAACGCAAAGAACACCAATTTTGTAGAAGAACGATTATGAGAATGAAGAACAAATTTAAGCCTTTAATTACTTTATCTACCTTGGGAAAATTCTGTTGGCATCGTCCATTAGACAACTGTAAAATTTCCCAGAAAACAATTTATGAAAAACCTTCTTCAAATATGTAGTTTAAATGTTACAATTGTAGATGGTAGACCAAGGGCATTGTCTAAAATGGAACGGGTTTATATAGTATATATGTATATTACGATAAAATGCCCATCAAAACTTAGTCTAAGAAACGTTTCCTTTTTGTGTCAAATATTTAGATATACAGCTATATATATATTTTATAGCATTTCTACGTTAGGAACAAACTTAAAGAATAGAAAAGAATATATATATATATATTGAGATTAATATTACCAACATATACTATATACTATATATACTATAAAAACAAAGCAGAAGAAAATTTCAAATTTTAACTTGTGATTCGATTTGACAATCTTAAAAGAATCTCTATGACTTTGATTTATATTTAATGCAAGTTTTCTCCCATTTATTTTTCAACAACTTTGCATAAATTTGTATGAAATATCCAAGCTATAGCTATACGTATATACCTCCGTTAAACCATGCGCAAACAATAGCTACTATAAATCAGCAACAGCAGAAGTAAATTAATGAATGTTCAAAAACAATCTAACTAAATGTTCAAATCAATGTTAAAAAAAAAAAAAGAAAAACGAAAAAGAAAAAAAACCAACCAAATACAATCGTGACAATTTTACCTAATAATAATATATACATATATATTAGGAATATGGGCTGCTTGGCAACCTATATACATAGTATATATACCCTATAATAACTAACAAATAGACTAGATTTAAATAGCAGAGTATAGAAATGCTCAGCAGAGCTCACAGTAAGAATACAACACCAAACAAACAACAATTAAGAACAAATATCTTAAAGAAATAGCATACAAATAATAATATATATTTATGTCTAAATATATATACATATTTAATGCATATTTATGGAAAAAATAAATCAAGCAACAACTCTTTTAAACAAATTACAATTACCAAAAATCGAAAACATTAAAATTTATGCAAAGCTACAAAATATTTTAACAATAATCTTTGAATGTTACAAACAGAACCTAAGCATATGGACAGCATTGTAACTTTGAATGTCTAACATTTTCAAATTTAACTAATATTCAAATAAAAACCTTTATGTGTTAGCAGAAGAAAAAACAAAAAGAAATGTAGTTTCGATTTGAAGTTGAAAGCTCAGCGCGTTGAAAAAAGCTCGTGAGCGAAAGCTTTCGTGAAGGGGGAAATACCACAACAGCTGTGCATTCATCGCATGACTCAACCAACGAATTGTAGAGCTTCCCAAGTAACTGACTCATAAATACCCTGGAAATCTGGTAAATTGGTTACATTTATAATAAAAAATCAAATAAATTAAATTTCTAAATATATAAATATTTACCACAAGTTTTTACCTATTTTCAGCTAACAATAAAAATTATCATACATTTTCATCTGAACTAATCCCTCTTACTATATATTCAACACAACCAACTGAGCTATGCCTATGCTTACAGGGTATTTGGAGAGCTGCGGGCTTTTTTTATTGCATGCAATACCACGCAGCCCCTTGCTGAATCATATATGGTATATTAAAACCGGCTAGCTGAACGACGCGCTAGTCGCTCACTAAACCTTGGACGCGGTGGAACTGATTGTGCAATCGAGCAACACGCGGATCTCTATACAAAAAAAAAAAAAAAGAATATACATATATATAAATACAATTTGTAATCAATTATCAGAGCAATGCCAAAAGTAGCGCCAAAAATCAAATTAAACAACGGCCAGGAGATGCCCATAATTGGCCTGGGCACCTGGAAATCGTATGAATCGGAAGCCTATCGAGCGACCTGTGACGCCATCGACATCGGCTACAGACACATCGACACCGCATTTGTTTACGAGAACGAGCAAGAGGTGGGCAAAGCGATACGGGAGAAAATTGCCCAGGGCGTGATCAGGCGAGAGGATGTGTTCGTGACCACCAAATTGGGTGGCATTCATCATGATCCTGCGGTGGTCGAGCGCGCGTTTCGCTTGAGCTTGAGCAACTTGGGTCTAGACTACATCGACTTGTATCTGATGCACATGCCCATTGGCCAAAAGTTTCACGACGACAACAATGTGCATGGCACCTTGGAGCTAACGGATGTCGACTACTTGGATACGTGGCGTGAAATGGAAAAGCTTGTGGATCTTGGACTTACCCGCAGCATTGGCTTGTCCAATTTCAATGCGGCTCAAACAGAGCGTGTGCTTGGAAATTGCCGCATTAAGCCGGTGGTGAATCAGGTCGAATGCCATCCAGCCTTCCAGCAGGAGCAACTGCGTCAGCATGCCAAAGAGCACGGCCTGATCATCTGCGCCTATTGTCCGCTGGCGAGGCCACAGCCGGCTCGCCATTGGCCGCCATTCCTGTACGATGAGCGTGCGCAGCAGCTGGCCAAGAAATATGGTCGCAGCAGTGCACAGATTTGCCTGCGTTATCTCATACAGATTGGCGTTGTGCCGCTGCCCAAGTCATCGAATAAGGCGCGAATCGCGGAGAATTTCAATGTTTTCGATTTCGAGCTGCAGCCGGAGGACATGGCTGTTATGAGAAATTATCATACCGGTGTGCGCACTGTTCCATTTAGTGGAATGGCTGGCCATAAATATTATCCATTTAACGATCAATTCTAAGATTAACTACCGCATAAGCTTGCTTAGTATTTTTTTATAAATAAACACAAAACACAGGGTTGTATTGCAAACAACAACTTGCTAATCAGCTTGTAAATGAATTTCATTTGATAAACGAAAAAAGAATAAGCCAAAAAAAAAAAAAAAAATACCTAGTCTGCTGTCTTATCTTAGTATCTTACGTAAATAGGGTTAGCAAAAGTAGAAGGTTGTCTAGTTTAACTATATTTAATATGTATTTCGACATGAACTACGAAAAAAGCCCTGATTGTGTTAAGAGATAAAGCGCACAAGTTATTTAATGCATTTGCTACGTTCGCTAGTTTCTATTCCCAGACGCATTGAAAATCATATCTGCTAAATGCTGTCATATTTGTCGCCGGGATTTGAAGTGTCTGTCTTATCAGTTGACGAACTTCATGATGAAATACAATAATAAAATAGTTCAAGGGGGGCGCAGGCGTTAAATGATCTTTTGTGTCAGTCAGCACCAACGAATAATAGTGGAAAGAGCAATCATTAAATATTTATAATTAACTTCATTAGCAAGCTCAGCGTATCAACAGGTTGCTTTCTTTGCTTTGCTTTTTAGTATTTTAATACTGTTTTGGTGTGATATCAAGTCGCACGTTGGTTAGGGCGACCATTTATTTTGTTGGGTACACACTCAAACAGTGAACAGCTGTTTAGACTTGCGTTTTACTATTAAGCTGCTAGTCGAAAATATTATTTTACGAAAATGTCGGTTATATTAAGACATAAACTGCCCACGCAATGGCTTTTAAAGGTAATTAAACACACACTCACTTTAATAGACTGATATATTAACACGATTTATTTCAGCAAATCTGTTACAGCACCAGCGCCAAATCGAGCAACGATGCGGCAAGTGCCAAAACAATACCGAAAAATTTGCTCGAGGATAAGCAAACGGCGAATTTACAAAAGGAAAACGGCGCCATATTCGACAAGCGTCCATTTAAACTGCACTTGGACAAAGGTAAGCAAAGCCAGACGCTCGCAAATATTGTCAAATAACAAGCACGTTTACATAATCGACCGCACGCAGACAAAACCTACAGCTGGTGCCTGTGCGGCAAATCCAAATCTCAGCCGCTGTGCGATGGAACGCACAGAAACGAATTTCTTAAAATTAAACTGAGGTAAATATGTAAACATAAGCGTGGTATATTAAAGGTACTAATACAAGTTATTCACCACCAAAAGGCCCATACGCTTCAAAGTGGAGAAGACGGGCGACTATTGGCTCTGCAACTGTAAACACACCACACATCGTCCCTTCTGCGATGGCACCCACAAGCAGCAGCACATCCAAGACGCCGTTAAATAATTTTAAAAATATGTACATAAATAGAACATTTGGTTAAATGTGAAATGCATTTTGTAGTATGTATATGAAATGAGAAATGCACGCAGAGAAATTTTTTGAATTCAAGAAGCAACACTTGTTTTATTCTAGTTTATAGAACCATCATACATACACATAAATAAATGCTTTTGTAGCCCGAATACATACATTATATGTATGTATGTGTATGTGGTGTATAATGTATGTATATATATCTTTTTTTGTATACTTTATAAATTTATTAATATTTTTTTGTAATGATTTTACAAGCTTCAACAAAATATTTACAGCTTTTGGATAAATAAAAATTTAGAATTCTTTCAAAATTCAAATTTGGTATATATTAAAGTTTAGTTAGGTAAAAAAAAAGTGATGGGTTTTATGTTTTTAGAAATTAGCAAGTTGTTTTCGTTTTATTTTTAAAGTTCGGATTTTTACACATAAAAAAGAAAAGCTGGTTGATAGAGCAAAAATTGTCTTAAATACTACTATATTCATTATTCATCATGCTTTCCACATGATTAGTTATTTTAGAACAGAAAAAACGTCGATCAACTGAAATAATATGCCAATCTGATCTGCATAAACAACGTGAACTTCACATTTTACAATGTTCTTTTTTTTTCGACTACACACACAAAACTACACTCAAAAACAACAACAAAAGTCAATGACAAATTTTCTTTACGTAAAACTTATAAATTCATGTTTTTGTTTAGGAAAAGAAAATGAAAAAAAAAAAAAAAATTCGCAGTTCGAGCAAAAAAAAGTAAACCAAAACGAAATCATCAAACGAAACGGCTACAACAAAAAATACATACTAATCGTTACAAGTTTAATTAAATATTCTTCTTAACAATTTTGTATCTTACGTCGCTCTAATTTATACGACTTATATTGGATTGATTTTGTTTTTGCTGTGATGTTTTGTTGTTGTTGACATACTACAAACGATTTGGATATTTAATTTACTAAATAACAATAGCAGCAGCAGCCGACAGAGCACGATTGGGTTTATAGTGGTTGAGTAATATTGTTAATTGGTTCGATCAATTGCGTTCGATTGAGGAAACGTAACTCAGCTTTGTCTGCAGCAAAATTGAGCAGTTTTTGAATATATTATAAATGTCATAATCGTGTTCGATCGCTGCGCTGCATATTGTCATTTAATAAATACTTAATTTACATATTTACTATGCCGAATTTGAATTAATAATTAATAAATAACTACTGTGTGTACATATGTAATGTATATATGTATATACTATGTGTGTGTGTATTTTTTTTTATATACCGCATACTTTCAAATATAATATCCATTTTTGTCTCTGTTTTGTATGTGAGTGTGAGTGTGTGTGTGTGTTTCCTCGTTCATTATATTGTAATATCTGTTTTTGTTTGTTTGATTCGTTGGTTAGTTTGGTTCCGCTTGTAGAAAGTAACAGTTTCCGTTATATATTTTTGAATTTGTTTCACGTTTTGAAGTGTTTGATCAGCGCAGCAAAATTCCACGTTGTATCCTAATCCATGTTTGTTTATTATTATTATATATTTTTTTGTTGGGTTGTTATGTTTTTTCCTTTTTCTGAATATGTATTGATCAAAGAAATAATCGTGGGCTGTGACTATATTTAGTATTCTTCGTCCTCTGGTGGTGCGTCGTCTGGTGGCGCAAAGCCATCCTGTTGTGATGCCAAAACACAATTAGTTTATGCAAGTTGTTTAAATTCCTTTCACTTACCTCAGTTGCGTACAGAATGTCCAAAATCTTTTGAACTAACTGACCTGGTTCAGCCTCATCGGCTTCCTGGCAACTGTGCAAATATGTGTGAAAATAAATTGTATTATTAAACATGTTTCATTTATAATGGATCTCACTTACAGTATTTCAATATCGCGCAGTTTGGAGAAATAGAAATCGCGCTCCTTCTCCAAGCCCTCGAGATTCAGACGCATATCCATTATCTTTGGAAGGATGATATGAACAAACAAAACAGATTATAGTATTACGATCACATGCATACTTCTACTTCAGGACGAACCTGATTGGACAGCTCTTCGATCTGTTGATTCGTTTGCGCGGTCACCGCATCGTTCTTCTTAACAGCTCCCGTTGTTCCCGCCGTCATTCGATTCGGCGGCGTCGCATTGTTTGTCCGTGGCGGTACCTTAGAAACTACTTGTATTGCGAAAGAGACATAATTCATAGGTTAGTTAATATTAAGTACAATCAACATATAATATACAATGATGGAATCTATGTTCGAGTATTTAACAAACGTGAAGCACGTCAAATGGTTGGCGTTCAAGTAGCGCTTTGTTGGGTTTTGGAAACAATTTCGTTGACAATAATTTGTGCAATCAGGTTTTGTTAAATTATAGATATATAGTATAAATAAAAAGAGGTGTGAGTAGTTGTTAGAGTAAGTGAGTATTCATTGTAGTTGTAGTTTATGTTTTAGATGAGTATAATTTAGTATATGTACAATAAAATGTTTGGTTATATAAGATTGTTGTTGTTATCATTATTAATATGTGGAATGGGACACGGGCAAGCAAACGAAACCAAACCAAGAGAACATACTGGGCTTTGTGGCTGTCGTTGTTGTTGCTGCTGTTGGCCGTGTTGCCGCCGATGTTGGCACACGCCTGTAGGAGCTGGCAACGCCGCCGCCGCCGCTGCTTGTGCCTGGCAGAGATTTTCCAGCACCGGAGCCAAAGCCCATCGGTGCACCCTCGCGTACAGCGCTGGCATCATAATCTCTGCCATCGTAATTGGCGTCGAAGAACTTTTTGAACCATTGTAAAAATTCAAAATTATCTTGGAATCGACCCTTTATCAATTTGTCAATGGGTATTATCTAAAAGTAAAATGTGTGAAAGTGAGAGAAAGAGAATAATAATGCAAGTGTAATTGTGGGGAATGGCATATGAGGAAACACAAAATAAAAATTAATAAAAAAAAAAACCAAGAGAGACAGACAATTAAACAGCACAATTTCGATATCAACTCAAGATGAAACTAAAGATTATAAATTAATGAGAGAGAGAAATGTGCACACTAAAAACAAAGACGAACAAATTACTCAAAAGACGATGTACTTGAGGACATATATGTGTATGTGTAAGTGTAAGTGTGTGTGTGCGCGTTGATGCATATGTGTTTGTGCCAATTTGCTTATTGGAGTTTTTGTTGTGCTTGTGTTGTTGTTGTTGTGTGTGTGTGCGCCTTTCATGGTATGCAGTCGACGCTTCCGCGTGCTTCACGTTCGTTTTCACTTTTCTCTTTTCGCTCTTTTTTTTTTTTTTGTTGGGTTGTATACAAAATGAAAGTAAAACAAAAATGGAACCCTCGCATACAGCGACCATCACCGTCAACAGCTTCTCTTGCATTATGAACATTTTCAAAACCATCGACAATATTCTGCAGCGATCCCATACCCGTTCTACTGCGCATCGTACTGCTGCGCCCATTGCTGACTGTCGACTGCGCATGCGATGAGTGCTGGTGCTGCTGTTGCTGGGAATGGGAATGGGAGGAGATGAGCTTCTGTCGGTGCATCGTGTGCAATTCATTGATGCTGCTGCCAACGCCGCTGCCAGTGTGACTGCCGGGTCCGCCGCTGCCCAGCTTCACGTGATTCCGCTGCGCCAGTGGATCATATTCCTGTCCATCATAATTGGCATCGAAAAACTTCTTGAACCATTGTAGAAATTCAAAATTGTCTTGAAAACGACCCTTAATAAGTTTATCAACTGGTATTATCTGTCGTCGTCGTCGTTGTTGTTGTTGTTATGATTGTTGTTGTTGTGGTAGTTTTTGTTGCCAGTTGCATAGTTGTAGTTGTTGGATGTTGTTGTTGATTTGTAACGGAAATTGTCAGTTAGTTACGCACATAATAAAGTTAAGTGTCGTAAGATTTTGTTTATAAAAAATGTTTCTTGTGTTCCTCAAGTCAAAAATAAAGTTTTAATATAACTTTAATTGAAATGAAACCAATTGTCGATTTTACTTTTAAGTAAAAAAGAAAATTTTCGATCATTTCCAAATTGAATTTCTTAACTGACGAAAAATCCTTAGACTGAACTTTTAACTTTTTTTTTTTATCAATAATCCCAATTTCTAATATTTAACTTATATAAATTTAATATTAAATTTAATTTAAACAAATTTTCGAAGCCACTAGAAAACTTTAACAATTGCAGATTTTAAAATAATTCAATTTTTAAATTTATATCTAATTCTAATAGTTACTATAACAATTACATGGATAGTGGCGTGCACAAAGAATCATCACAACACACACAGCACCTGAGCTATTATTTAATTCAATTCAATTTGTTAAGTGTGCAAAAAGTGTTTGATTCAAAATCAAAACAAAACAAAAAATAACTGGAGCATTAAACAAATCAAATATTCTAAAACTAGAACAAAATCGATGTAAAGTAAAGCAGAGGGAGATAAAGATAAAGAGAGCGAGAGCTAAGAAATAGTTTTTACCTTGTCAACTGACATCTTTTTAAAGCCCGCCTGCAAGATCTTGAAGTTCTGTATGTACTCATGCTCCAGATTTGTGCGGAATTTAACACGCTTGATGGGCACTGAATTTGGGAACAGCATGTCCATGAACTGACAGTAGGCAGCGCCTAAATATGGACAAATACAACAAAAAAAAACGAGAACGAAAATACATCAATTAATACAGTTCAATAAATAATTATTTAGAAGGTTGTAGCTACCCGTGCAGAGTTCCTCAATTTTGGAGAATTGCGACGCCAGGCAATCGTTCACCCAGGCCAACATGTCGTGCCTCGACAGATTCTCTGACGTCACATTTGTGGAGTATACGTTAACAGCCATATCTTTTTTGGGCGTATCTGCAATAGATGGAGAGAAATAGGCAACGAGATATTATTATTGTTATTTTCATAATTAAGCCGAGTACATATAAGGTAAGCTGTGTGGGAGTGGTTAATGCTGTTAATTATGGTTCAGCTTATAATTGCTTAATTTCTTATTTTTGTTTTTCTTTTCATTTGAGTTTTTAATAGTTTTTCGTGTGTCTGCTTATTTGTGCATTGAAGCGTCGCCACATGTGCGTGCCTCCAATATCAAGATCATCATAATCACACAATCAAATGCAACAGCCAGCAAAGTGGCATGCGGCATGCAGTTGATTATTAGTGGCACGAGGCTTGGACTTGGAGAGACACACATGAAAGTTGTATGCAACATTTGCTTGTTTTTGCTTGTGTTTTCTAATGGCTTTTGCTACTTTAGCCAAATGTTTTTTGTTACAAATAATTGCCATTCGCTCATCTCGTTCCATTACATACTTTTGGGCATTTTCGCGTGGCTTCCACTCATTGATCTTGAAAGACTTTTTGCTTGTCCGTTGGCTTTATTGAAAGCAAATTAAAATTGAAAATATTTTTTGTTGTTTTCTTTAAATATATTTATTTATTTTTTTTTTTTTCGAATTTTTCGATTTGTTGCGTCAAGTAATGATAGAATAAAAACAATGCCAAACTACATTTTGGGCAAGGCCTACGTCAAATCATGAAACATTGATAATGCTGCGATCAAAATATTTCAGATGATAGAATCTTATGAATCGGAGTTGACATCTTCTGGGATTGATCATTTGTTGCGAGAGACATTCATCTCTAATGTCAGCAAATTATTGAAATGTTTCGCAGGTAATTTAGACTCTGTTAACGAGTTAACAGAGCTGACTGTTAACTCAATTAGCAACTGCTAAGAAATGATATGCTGAATGATGTGTGGCATTTCTCAGAGATTTTAAATCAACTTTGCGAGTTAACAAAAGAGTTGAATATATTAGTAAGGAATGAATGAGTAATCACTTTGCATATCTATTTGCCTAAGCACAGCTGTTGTCAAATGCTTATATTATCCCATTAACACGAATTCCAAGTCAAACTACTCCATCGAAAGAAATTCCACTCAAGCTAAGCAGAAATCCAAATTCGCAATTTAAAGACAATAAATAGTTGTTCTAAAAACAACTTTAACTAGTCAGCTAATCAGCCTAGAACTTAAAAGTTTCGCTGTTGGCAAGTTTAATTGGTAAGCAATCAGCTTAGATAATAACTTGGAAATGCTTCATAAAACAATTAATCACAATCAATTTGTTATCTTTCACTGGAAATAATCCAACATAATAATTGTGTTTAAAGTCTGACTTATTATCAAAGCATTACACTGTGTTTACAAAACATCAATTAAAACAACTAGGAGATATTCCGTGCCCGGCTCTAAGCACTCACGTATATCAAATTCAGTAAAACACGTTTTTCCAGTATCAATAAAATGAAGACCCAATCAAAATTTATATAAACAGTGACAAATAAACAATAAAAAGCCTCAAATGACGTGCGTGGATTCGTGAGAATTGCAGAGTAAGGCGATATTAACTAAGATGGAGAGAAAGCTAGAAGTTATTCACTTGGATTCGAGAAAATTGCAATGCATTAAGAAAAGATCTGTGAGAGACGGAAAGTGTAAGTGAATGTTGGTAAAACAAAACTGAGAAAGAAATAAAGAGAGATAGAGAGATAAGCAGAGGTCAACGAGTTCTAGCTACATCCTCCATATACTCTTTATAGAATTCTTACCAATAGTTTATATAACTTATTTTCACACTTTGCGTACACGAGCGAACTTTATACGAAACGCACTATTTAATCTAATTGAAGAGCAGCACTCTTGTATTCCTTATAGTTTGAAGTGCTTGTAAGCTCCAGAAAACTTACGAGAGCGTAAAATGCAAGCGACATGCAAACGCGCGCGCCTGCCCGCCAAGACACAATCGGAGGCAAAAATACAAATTGGAATGAAGCAAGAAGAAGACGTAAAGACAACAAATACAATAAAGTGCAACAAATACAAGCAAAATGCGGCGATAGCAGCGCAATCCGTGCGAGACTGGAGCGAACGAACAATGAACTTGGACTGTGGCAGCGACTAACGCTGCTGCTGCTGCTGCTGCTGCGGTTTGTCAACGGTTCGCTGCCGACGCAGTTGATGATGTTCGAGTGGCAGCAGCGGCAGCAGCTCTTAGTCACCGGCATTTGGCATTATCAAGAGCAGAACTTTATAAAAAAGAAACAAAGAGTAAAGAAAATGAATAGAAAGAAAAGCATGACCAATGCCACAGCGTGGACCACTCAGGGAGGCGACACGTTGATAAAGAAAATTAAATTAGCCGGCATTTCGTTTAGACGCAACCGAAATGTACCTAAAAATACATCAGGCCAGAGCTCTGAGTGTGCCTCTGCCCCTGTGTGTGTGTGTGTGTAACGTTTTGCCACGTTGTAGCTTAGTGTGGCAAGTGCATTGAACCCAAAAAAGGGCGCGTTGTGATATAAACTGAAGTTGGAAGCAAATGCCGGAACTTCATACAAATGCGAGCGATTATACCCTAGCCAATGGGGGTACTACCACTATTGTTACAAAGTGTGTCACACAGCAGAGAGTGAAACAGAGCAGAGCAAGGGAATCAAAGTGGGTGGGAGCATCGAAATGACAAATCATGCAACATTTCGTGGCATAATTTAAAGTTCTTATTGTAATAATGTGATTGCCTAACAAAATATGTTATATTATATTCATTATATATACGCTAAATATTAAGAATTCCAATAAGAATCAGTTTCTTACTCTTTTCGATTTTCATTAGAGTTAATTTAAAAAGAAATATAAAAATTAAACCAATCTACTATGAACACAAGAAAAATCCCACCATAAAACTGCTTAAGCAATCTCATTTTATATACCTCACTGCTGTTAAAGGGTATTTAAGCTGTCGGGCTGCCAATAGGTAATTCATGCTATTTCCTTCTACCATTCCGTATTGTTGCAGTTGGTGCTGCTGCTGTTGTTGTAGTTTATTGATTGAAGTGCGCCAACTATGGCAGGCAAAACTGCCCCAAATACACAACAAGTTGAAAACTCATTAAGGGGGATTTGTTTTTGTTTGCCATTGTCGATGATGGCAGATGATAAGTGTGTGTTTAAGACTGTGTATGTGTTTGTGTTTGCGTGTGCGGGGGTGTTTTGATTGACGTGCGTATGTGTGTGTGCGCTGCAGCGGAAGTTGTGGCAAATGTCGTTGCCAACTAATTAAGCGCGACTACACAACAAACCAAAGTGCTCATGCACTCATACATCGATATGAGTGTATTAGAAATGAGTAATTTTACATAACGATATAAATATCGACATCGATCAGCCGATTATCGACAAGCGCTTGTCATAATTAAGCTTCAATCTCAGCATAAGCCCAAGTGCTGCGTATCCCACCTAAACATACACAAGATATTGCTGCATGCATGTGTGCGTGTGCGTGTGTTTATGGAATTTGTGTAAGTGTGAAAAAGCCGGCGAGTTTTTAAAGAGAGCGCCTCAGCGTTGGCGTCTGTGTCAATGCCGCTAGCTCAGCAATTTTAATGAAGCCAATAAAAAAATAGTAGCCAAGCAAAGAGACAACAAGCCAGGGCGTTCGAACCTGAATCAGCTATCAGTAAGACACAAACGCACACACACACACGTCAGTGGACAACATTGTGCGGGGGTTGACATATAGACCACATAACAAGCTGACATACTACCGATGACGTCATGCAAATAAAATACAATTGGCAGCAGCTAAAACAAAAGCAACACCTGAGCACAGGAAATGCAAGAAAAAACTCGAATGAAAAATATGAAACACGTATGGCAACACTCGTCTGGCTTAAAGTGCACTTGCGGCAGGTAGTAGAAATGTTAAGTGGCAAAAGCCAAAGGAAAAAAAAAACAGAAAAGGTAACGGCATCGACTCGCCAGATTAGCCGCAAAGGCTTGACGATTTGTAATTGCAATGCGGCAGTGGAATTTTTATGGCTGTTCCTGTTGCAAGCGCGCAGCAGAAGCCACAAACACTCACACTCACATACACATGCATATGCAGGCAGCAACACGCACACATTTTATTTTGGGCGCACACACACACACACATCGATACACAATGCGCACAGACGCCTGCGACATTTAAATGCGTACAACAGGGAATAAAACACACGCACACACACAGCTGCATCGTTGCGCATCATGTACAGATATTTTCTCCTACTTATGTGTGCTCAAGTGTGTGCACTTGAAGTTTTCGGCAAGGCTATTTTAAAATCGCCACATACACGCGCTACTCTCTCGCATTTTTTTGCCGTTGAACTTTCTTTTCTGCTGACGCTACTTCTAGATTTTGCCATGCACACACTCAAGATGGAGCAGGCAAAAAACATAACGCAGAGAAAGAGCCGCCGCAGCCGCAACATTCACCAATACACACACGTACACTCATGTATTTGTCTATTCACTTTTATAAAGGTTACGCCACTGTTTCACTTTACTGGACAATCAGACACTCACCTATTTAATTGTAATATATATAGTCGCTGTTTTAAATTAAACCGCTCTTTTTATTATTCCAACGTTATTAATGACAAAGGAAATCCAAATTCTATGACGAACTGTCTTCTGGTAGTGTTATCGACTGCTTTAGTGTTGTGAAACTAAATTTGTGCTTAGTGTTTGAAAAAATACACGCGCAAATGTTATACTCATAATGGCACTGTTACGAACTGGCGTCATATTGCCCAATCGATTAATTGACGCTGTTAACCACTCAACTCAGTATCGATCGCAGTTTTATTTAAAATTTTTAAACAGTTTGCCGGGCCACGCCCATTGTGTATACAAAATAAATTGGTAAACAAATTTACAACACATTTTCTCTTAACACTAATAAATGCAACAGTTACAACATATTTGAACATTCAATGCTCACAAATGCACTAAATCTCTCACAGTGTGAATGCCAAATTTGTAGCATTCTAAATTTTTCTACATGCGAAAAACTCCAAATTTGGTTTCTTGGCCGGAATTATTTAGAGCAGCCTTCAGGCTCAAGCCCAGCACTTGCCTTGTATTTGCCGGATCAATGATGCCGTCGTCCCACAATCGTGCAGTGCTATAATAAGGCGAACCTTCCCTTTCGAACATCTCCACAATTGGAGTTTTGAGCTTCTGCGCTTCTTCCTCGCTAAACTCCTTGCCCGCTCGCTTGCGCTGATCCGCGGTGATCTGAGCTAGCACATTGGCTGCCTGTGTGCCGCCCATGACAGAGATGCGGGAATTGGGCCACATATAGAGGAATCTCGGCGAATAGGCTCTGCCACACATGCCATAGTTGCCAGCGCCATAGGAACCGCCAATGATCACCGTCAACTTGGGCACATTCGCACAGGCAACAGCGGTGACCATCTTGGCGCCATTCTTGGCAATGCCATTAGCCTCGGCATCGCGGCCCACCATGAAGCCTGGCATTAAGTAGAGATTGCATTAAGTAATTTCTTCACTTCACTGATGCACTTGCTCACCTGTTATATTTTGCAGAAAGATCAATGGAATCTTACGCTGCGCGCACAACTGGATGAAATGAGCGCCCTTCAGAGCGCTCTCCGAGAAGAGAACACCATTGTTGCCCACAATGCCCACAGTGCCTCCGTAGAGCTTGGCAAAGCCGCACACCAAAGTCTCGCCATAGAGTTTCTTGAACTCCGTGAAACGACTGCCGTCCACAATTCTAGCGATGACAGCACGCACATCGAAGCTCTTCGTTAGATTGGGCCCAACTATACCATAGAGTTCTGTTGGATCGTACAGCGGCTCCTCCACTGCCGCAGTTGCTGGCGCAGCTGAGCCGAAGTTTGTCTTACTGGAATGCTGCAGTTGCTCATTGTAGGCGTTCGTTGCATCCAGATTAAGATTGCTAACGATTTGCCGGGCCAGATACAGAGCGTGCTCATCGTCCACCGCATAATGATCCGTGACACCGGAAGTCTTGCAATGCAAATCAGCTCCACCCAAATCCTCGGCAGACACCTCCTCGCCGGTGGCCGCCTTGACCAGAGGCGGGCCAGCCAGAAAAATGGTGCCCTGTTTCTTCACAATAATGCTCTCATCCGCCATGGCTGGCACATAAGCTCCGCCAGCCGTGCAGCTGCCCATGACAACGGCAATCTGTGGTATACCCTGCGCCGACATGTTCGCCTGATTGTAGAAAATGCGTCCAAAGTGCAGCTTATCGGGAAATACTTCCGCCTGACGTGGTAAATTGGCGCCACCGGAATCCACCAGGTAGATGCAGGGCAAACGATTCTCTTGTGCTATTTCCTGTGCACGCAAATGTTTCTTCACTGTAATCGGGTAGTAGCTGCCGCCTTTGACAGTCGCATCATTGGCCACTACGACGCATTCCGTACTATAGATGAGAGCATAATGAGGGAGTTACTCGATTACTCTAGAGAGTCGAAAGTCGGAGACCTACCCGCACACCCTGCCCACACCCGTTACAATGCCACCTGCATTGACTACCTCGTCGCCATACAGCTCATGGCCAGCCAAGGTGCTCAGCTCTAGGAAAGGCGAGCCCTTGTCCAGCAACAGGTTAATGCGCTCCCTAGCCAGTAGCTTACCGCGCGAGGTGTGACGCTCGATGGCCTTTGCTCCGCCACCTGTTAACACCTGACTCGTTAGTTGACGCAGCTCTCCCACCAGCTTGCGCATCTCACTAGCATTTTCCTAATATGTACAAAGAATGAGATGAACATATACCTATGTATGTAGCCAATTATGTTTTCTATATTTACCTTAAACTCGACTGATTGCTTATCAATTTCGCTGCTCAGCACATTTGCTTTCCCCAGATGCAAAAGGCGCGTTTGGCTGCGCAACAGTTGGTTGGTCAGGGAATACCGCAGCATTTGAGTTAGTGGCAGTTTCAGCATGTTTATGTTTTCAAGTAAAAGTAATATTTGGAATTCGTCGAGTTTAAAGATCACAGCAAATGCAAAAACGCTGTTACGTCAGGTGTTGCGGCGTGTGTAAACAAAATCTGGTCACACTGCATGGTACGATCAGCTGTGAAAGTTTAGTCAAGCGCCATCTGTGGAGAAGAGCTCAGCAGCAACTATTGTGCTTATCAAAGAGTATTTTTCAGCACCGGAGCATCTTTATGCTTTGAGCTAAAATACCAAACTTGTGAATTTTTTTCGTTTATTTGTTTAGCGCCAAATTTTAATAGCTTCAGCTGATTAGCAAACTATTTTTAACAAAATGATATCCACAAAATATATTTTTCGTTATCAGTAAACTGTAAATACACTTTTACACTTAAGCTGTTTATAATTTAATATAACACAATAAATTTATAGACTTTGGTAAATTTTATTAGATATTAAATATTTTTGAATTGAACGTGTGACTGATTAACGATATTATCTTTTAGACTACAATTAGGAAAACGACATAGATAAACATTTATAGACGATACATAAATATACATATATATAAATAGTTTTGCTATGCTAAAAGGTTCTGCGAACAATGTTAAATGTGATTGTGCACGGCGCTCTAATATCTATCAGATACGTACATGTAGAAATATAGATATATCTATATATGTATATGTATATAGGATAGATCTGTTATGCACAGTTAATGGTATAATAATAGTTAACGCTGATAAACAATCACATGACAAAAACATAAACATTTGCTTACTTAATTTATTAACTATTCAAATTTGTTATTTCGTAAACTATATTTAGGTAATTTAGATATTGTAGTTTTTTTTTCTTCTCTCTTTCGTTTTTAAAGCATCCAAAAAAATTGTACTAGAAAAATATAACGTATGTTTGGGCCATCGTCTGTTTCTTGCTCTATGCTAAATTTCTATTTTATAATTCAATTTCATTAAATTTGTAATTTTCGTGTTTGTTTTTATAGTTTGTAATTTGTTTTGTTGTTGGTTTGGCTTACTTAATTTTAATTTTGTGTAGCTTCAATTTAAAGCCCAGCACCTCGCTTAGCACACCCGATAGGGCAGATAGGATGACCACCTTGATGGTTGTGAACAGATATGGATTGGCACTGAGACCAGAGATCTTGAATGGCGTTTCGAGCTCCTTTAGCAGATCGGCGGCTAATTTTAGCACACTATTTGAGACCATTAACTCCTCCTTCTTTTTAGGTTTTTGTTCGATTTGCAAATACAAATTGATTTGTTCAGTTATCAATACCGAAACGCTGCGATATTTATGCTGAATCTTTTGGCCAAGCGTCATGAAGCGCAACAAATAGATGCCGATCGTAATGGACCACATGAGCGCCTCCAGCGTTAGATGTGTGTGCAAATTAACCGAATCCTTTAGCCACTCCACGCTCAGAAAGGCCAACAGCAGCAGTGTGACTATAAATGCGGCCGACACAATAATATCCACCGAGCGCTGCGGACCGCGTTTCTAGACAATCAAAACAAAAAAATTTGCATATAGATGTAAGACTTAAGTGAATGGAAGGTATATAATATGCACGTACCTTCAAGTAGGAGCGCACGCTCAACCAGGTTTTAATATTGCGCACTTTGTTGAGGCGAAAGTGCGGCAAATTTGATTTGCGAGCACGTCGCGAGGAAGTCAGGTGTGAAAACAGCTTGGCATACAGAAAGCTGAAAAGAAAACAGAATAAGGGAATACCTAAAACAAAATTGAATACGCTTGAATTTACCGTTGCTTAAAGGTGCGCTCGGCCACTGCGAATATCATAAATAATATCAGCGTCAGGCAGAGGCGTTGCACAAAGCCCAGCGCCAGAACAGTGCGCTCCCATTGCTCCTCACCAAAGGCAAAGCCGAAGAGTGTAAAGAACGAAGACGATGACTTCTTCCATAGCAATAGTGGTATATAGAAATAGCTTATGTCATTAGCCTTATCCGCATCAATTGTGATCTGACAAAGAGGGAAGGATTTAATATAGACAGAGCAGGGGAAAGCTATTCGCCTCGTCACGTACCTCGCATAGCCTACAAAATGTGGGTATTAACGTCAGCAGGAACGAGAAAAATACGCCTATGTAAATATAGTCATTGGTCACGCCCAGCGAATCGACGCGTTCGATTATGCACGATGAGATTTCCAGCACAGACATTTGAGCCTTTTTAGCATCGCGCTGATCCCAAATGGTGCAGCTAACTGAAGGATTAGATATCACTCATTAATTGATAAACATCATGAAGCTAATCCTTGCCAACTCACTGCGATCCAGACTGCTGTGGGGATTGAGTATGGTCGTCGGCGTAATATCCAGCTCTGGCAACTCCTCATCACTGCAAGCCTGATGCTTGAAGCCGCCATCGGATTGATCCAGTTCGGATGTATAGCTACAGTCTTCGCTGTTTGTGGTCACGCCCAGCCAATCGGTAGCCGATGTATTGCACTCTTGTGTGCCAGCTGAGGCTGGACTTGAGATAAGATCCGCGTCGTCACATTCATCCGACTCGGCGCAGCTGCTCGTGGATTCATGGTTGATTTTATCATTTGAATCGCTTGCCGCATTACTATTGCTATTGCTGCTCACATTGAGACGCAGTCGGAGATGATTCTGCGGCGCTGTGATGACATTTGATGGGCTTGCCCCGCTGGTAGCACCGCTGTTGACATTGGGCGAATGATTGTTATCCTCGCCGCTGGAGCTTTTATTGTTCAAGCTCTCGAAGCCGTCGTCTTCGCCAATGCTGCGATTTGTGGGTCGATAATTGGGCTCCAGGCGTGCACCGTTCGGTGCTGGGCCACTGCTCTTGTTGAGCTCAATGCTGGACGAGGGCAACTCATTCTGATCGAATGTCGCATAGATTTGGATGGGCGTATGCCAATTGACATTGCGCTTCTTATGGGGACTGTCGCTTGCTGCGGCGTTGGCCACCTGTCTGAGATCGTAGAGCGGCTCGTTTAGCGTTGTGCTATCCGCTGCAGCTGCGGCCGCTTGACGATTGTGATGATGTTGATGCAGTATGGTTATGGCAGTTGTGGTAGGGAAGGTCTCCTCACTAGGAACTGGATTGCATGTGCAGGGCTTTAAATCGGGGCTGGCTTCGGTGCTAAGGGGCGGCAATTTCGAGCGTCGCGTGCTCAATGCATGATTACTATTTGTCTGTGAATTGTCCGACTCGGCTTGACGCAAGCTGTGAGTAATAAATTATAAGTTGCGATTTATTATGAATATATGTAAACAGTTATTATTTTCACTTGCCGCACAAACTTCTTGCGTCGCCTCACGCGCGGCAAATTGGACTTGTCGCCACCGAACGCGGGTATGGAAAAACGCCGCAATTTGCTTTTACTGCTGACACCACCCGGCGCCGTATTCGTTGCCACAATCTGTGAGTGTATTAAGCTAATCAGCAAACTTAGCGCACAGGGTATGAGGAGTGCACTGAGCAAGTCGGCATTCTCCTCCGCATTCTGCTGCTGCTGCTGCTGATCTACTGCAGCAGCAGTAGCCGTATCGCCGTCCACTGTCGGCGTCGTTGCGTTCGTTTCCTGTACAAAGACCAGCGGCACCAGCCGATTGCTGTGCATAATGTATACAGCCCAATTGACCAATTGTGTGATGTACAGGCAGAGTATGAAGCCGAAGGCATTCGGTGTCGTCTGCTTGACCCACCATTGTGCATAGAGGGGCAGCAACAGATATCGAAGTATGGCCAAACGAATAACGGTGATTAGGGTTTGTTTCGGCTTTGCTTTGGGAAACGTCGAGCCTGTGGAGATAAATACATGAGTATAAAGAACGGAATATATATAATATTTTATATATATATATATATATTGTACCCCGCACTAGATCGACATCGATGAGTTCAGTTTTGAGCTTGGTATTCTTTAAATTGACGCTATTGAAGCCATCCAGAATGCGCTGCTCGACAGTTTTCTCCCATTCTTGCTTATCATAGGTGCCGATTCGTTTCTGGTACCTAGACGATAAACAAATCAACAAATAAACAAACGAACAACAAATGTGTGTCAAATAAATATTATGCAATTTGTCGTTCACTTACCATGCGACAATTTCATCCAATTTCATAGTAATATTTACATAAAAGCCACTAAATTGTCACGCGCCCGACTGAAAAATTTTTAAATAGAGCAAACAAATCGTTAAAGATTTCTATTAAACCGACTTGCGCTATAAAATTACAGAAATCAGCTTTAACTGGCCGAGCAATTGAAATTCGTCTGTTGGAGGTTTCTTTTTCCACTATTCATAACATTCGAGTTTTTTTTTTCGCTTAAACAGCTGCAATTATTAGTGATAAACTGGTTTCTTTGAACTTGTCTTGGTTAAGCGCTTTAGTTAACAAGAAGTAATTGATTTGTGGTTTTTCAATAACAGCTGTCTGATAAATAATTATAGTCGTTAGGGTAATTTAATATAAAAAATAATATTGATATTGACTTTTTCTAGTCTGAAGTCTTGATTACAGAATTCTCTAGAATTGAAATTTAAGCTTTATTTAATTTGAGCATATTTGAAAATAATATTCTATACGTGCTATTTCTATAGTAAATAAAGTTTAGATTAGATTAGATTGCTTATTAAAAATGAGATCTACAATTTTGATACAGTATATTAGTATATTCAAAATATATATTTATTAGATAAATAAACAAAAACTGAATTCCTTTAGCTAATCATTTGCTAATCACAATAAAGAAACCCGAAAGGGCATACGGGAGCACCATCGCTCAGCTCTAAAATATTCATAGCAAAATCTCTACAATTTCTCCACAATTTGCCGTTACAAGCAGCTGATAAGAAATTGCAATGCCCCTCGAAAGGCTATACAAACATATTGAATACTTTGGTAAACATTTGACAATTTAATTTATTTATTCTAGTAAATTTTATTATTAACAAAGCAATTGCAACATATTAATTTTATAAATAATAATGCTCAAAATACACATACTTTCGTCTTCAGACTTTGTTGTAACTATACTGGCCAACAAAGGGTATACAAAAGTCGCTATTGCCATGTCAAATAGT